CAGATTCATCGTGTCGCGTCCTCCGCAGGGGAGGAGTGGGGTTGCTAGAGATGGGGAGACGATTTCTCTATGGGGGAGAGCGTGATTGTAGCTTCTTCTTGAGCATCCCTATGCGCTCATTCTACTGGAAGATCATCAGATTGGTCTGGTTGATCGCAGCGACCAGGGCCACCATGGTGGGGTTGGTGCAGGGCGGCACCGGGATCGGCTGGTAGACATTCGGGCTATCAAAGTGGTGGGCGGTGTTAAAGGCCGCGTCTTTTATAGAGGGAGAGGCGGTGTACCCGTCCCTGGAGTCGCCCTCCTCGACGTGAACAGTCACATTGGGATTGTGGCCGTCACCGTTGGTGAAAGGGAAGAATGCGGTTTCCGGAGCATTGTCGTTGCGAGGGTTGACCATGATCAAATGGAAGTTGTTTGTTGCTTTGGTTCTTGAGCTTCTGCGCTTATATAGGAGAAAGAACAGAGGAGCAAAGGGTTCCCACAGACGGCACCACTAATCTTACTTGATCAGAAAGAAATCAACAACTAGATACGCGTCATGAGCTCCTGTGATCACTGGTGTTATGGAGGAGGAGAGGGTGTACCTGCAAGGTACTCTGATGCTTGAGTAGCGGAGTTAGAAAGCGCAAATACAGAGAAAATAGGTGTAGAGAATAGAATACATGACACTCTAGTGAAAAAGGGTATTTATAATGTGCTCCTAGCGCAGGGCCAATAGTTACTTGGCATTGGCCTGGATTGCAAGGCCCAATAGAGTAACTGTTAGGGCTTATGTGGCGTAGGGAAGACCAGCACATGGTCTTCGCCCTGGATCAACTGCCCCGTGATCTTTAGAAGGTGGGCTGACCAACTCTTTTAGAAGTGGGTAGTTGTCTGATGACGTGTCCCCATGTGAGGAACACGTGGAGAACGTGGAGAAAACGTGTGAGCTCTCCTCGTGATAAGTAGTGGTCTCTCCGAAGGTAGATTCAAGTGTTCCCGACCTGGGGAGGATTGGGTCTCGTTGGGCCTTTCCTCATAGTATTGGGTTGGACCTGCCTGACTGTGGGACAGGTATCGGCCCAGTCTAGAACAATTTTAAATTCATAAGTTTTTTAAACTCATACCTCATCTAACAATTAAATTTAGTTTTCTAAAAACCAACTAATTTTATTAAAGATTTATTCATCTTTTTCCCATTCTCCTTTATTTCATCTTCATACACGTTCATTTAAAAACCCATAAATTTTACAAAATTTTTAAACAATGTCATTCACTAATCGAAAAGTTACTAGAAGTATAGGAAGCATTTTTTCCTATTTGTTAACATTTTTTGTTGGGAGAGATTTTCACTAGGAAGAATTGAACAATGTGAGACTTTCTTTCTTTTAGAGCAACACCTTTGTGAGAGACACACCACATACTCACCCAAAATCCTAAGGTGATAGATGTGTGAAGTCGCCCACTTATAAATGCTCAAGTCACCATATTTCTATCCAATATGATACTATTATCTACACTACTCACACTTGTCATATTTAACACTCTCTCTCCCAAGTGTGAGTCTATTCACAATGTTCTCCCTTAAGCGGAATCTTCTCAACTGTGAAACTGCACTTTCTGTTGTGTGTTTCTTGCTCATCACCCTTGTACCGTCGTTGACACTCTTCAATGGGACACCTCATAACCATCACACATGAGGAGTACTTTCGATACAAGTGAGTTGGTCCTTCACTCGAACCAAATGCTCATGACACCACATACTCACCCCAAATCTTAAGGTGATAGGTGTGTGGGTTCTCCCACTTATAAATGCTCAAGTCACCATATTTTTATCTAATGTGGGACTATTATCCACAATACTTACACTTGTTATACTTAACAACTTTGAAATCAAATCATATATATTGGTGGATGATATAAAAGGGAAATCGGGAGAATAAGTAGAAACAAATAGCTTATGAGTTTGTTGATAAGTTTAGAGGATTACTCTATAGACCTCTAGATTCTATAGAGCGTTCCTTTACCAGCGTAAAAAGTCAGAGTTCTCTATGAATTCTGGAGATATATCTCTGGACTCATCCTTTTTATAAAATCATAAGAGCAAATTAGTGAGTCACATTTATTTTGCAAAGATCTAATTCGGAGATGTATCTCCATATCAACAATAGGGTGAGTTCGGAGACGCATCTTCGTAAAAACCCTTAATTCAAAATTCATTGATTTTTCAGAGATGCATCTCCGAATGCGTTTGTTTCATATACTCATGTCATACCCTTCTCTCTTCCTCCTTCATTTTCTATAAACATAAAAAAAAATCCTCATTTGAGTTATTTTGCTCCATTCTACTTCATTTGTTGCAAAGTCACTCACTGTATTCAAACTTCTCATCCAAAACTCTAATTTAGTAAGTTTCTTATTTCATTTTTTAAATATTTGAATGATGTTTTAGGTAACATATGTTGTTTAAGATGCATTAGATAGTAACACATTTCAAATAGGTAGCTGATATAGACATGCATTCCCATTTGGTTAGAGTTTAAGGCGTCAATGAGGTTTCTTCCACTACTAAAAATTGCGAGTTCATCCAGATATGCATCTCCAAATTTTTTCTAGATTGTTGTATCTCTGGATTTTTCCTTGCTACATTTTGGTTGCATTTTAGTGTGATTTTTTTAGTTTTATTACAAGTGTAATGGCTGAAAACAACCAGGACAAAATTAGACTTGGTCATGTGTCCCAACACGCATTTGTATGACGTGTGAGGTCCTGGGGAAGGACCACGAGTCGATGATACCTCGTTTGATAGTTCACAAGGTCGAGGTTCACAACCATCTAGTTTTACTTCCCGTAGTTGCATGTCTAAGACATCTACTTCACGGGGCCACATGTCCTTTACTTATGAAGCCCCTGAAACCCAGGAGGAACCCGCTTCTAATACCCCTGTAGATAGTTATCCAGGAGGCCCATTTGCCACCTCCTTACTTCATCTCTATAGAGGAACCTGCTTCCTTCCCAAACGGAGGATTGAAGTGGTTAATCTTCTTTCCACAAACACGGACCTTGGAGAAGTTAGTCTTCAAGTTCCATAACCCTTAAGCTCAATACATTGGTTCTAATTGGGCTAACCAAAAACTTATGAGATTTTAACATCAGGTTAATCTCAAACCTGTGAAGCTTTTAAGTATCAGACTGGACTTTAACCTATCTTGGTTTTAATATCGGGTTGACTAAGAACCTATGAGATTTTATCACATGCTAATCTCCAATCTAAACTAGGACTGACCTGCCCAATCCCAAACAAATCTCTAATTAGATAGTATTCAACCAAGGTATACATAAAAGGTTCCCTTGGTGAATTTTACAATTCTACCCATTCTAGAATTACAAAACGATTTCAATCACAAAAGAACTTTTCTCATAAAAGAACTTAGGCTAAAAATATAGTGAGATAAAGTTAAAGAAATGTTGAGAGAGAGAGAGAGAGAGAGATGAAAATGTCAAAACATAATTCTGGATGATTTGAAATGAGAAATTAGACCTTTATTTATAGGCCTGAGGTTGGCTCAAAAAGAAAATTGCATTTAAGGCATTTTGTAACAATCTAATAAATTAGCACCTATGTCTAATCAATTAAGCAATAATAATAATTGTTTTTAAGTTCCATAAAAGGAAGGAAAATATATCTAGTGGTTGTACAACATTAAGGTATTGTCTGAATTTCTTAGTGCGTAAGTTTGAACTAATCTAATCGAATAGACAAAGGACCCAATCAATTTGATAAGCCAAAATTGTCCCTCTAACTATTTTAACAGCTCCCAAGTGATCTCGCACATCATCATGACATTTTTTGAAGATATTTTCTTTGATAAAACAATTTGAAAAATGTTTCAGTGTGTGTATGCTTTTATCCTTATACTTTTACATTAACGTCCTTTTGCATTACAATCGTTCACTCATTACTCAAAAAGGAGAACATTGATGCTAAGTCAGAAGATCACCAAATATCGCTTCAAGTCTTTGTTAGATACTTCTCTTTATATTGACACATGCTTGAGTGGCTTGAGATGAGGATTCAGTTTCATTCTTTATGTACACATTGTGAATTTATATTAAAGTCCTTTTGCATATTTACCCATTTAATCGTTCATGCTTGGCTTTAGTTGTCATCATCAAAAGTTATACTTGTTAAAATCATATCACCTTCAATCACCTTCAAAACAAGGTTCCACAATCCACTACTACGGGCTTGTCGGTTTATGGGATGTTATGTAGATGACCATCGAAATGATGTTTATCCATTTGGGAGCTGACCCAATTGAGGTTGCAAATGAGATAACTGACACCAGAGGTGCTTATGCTAGATTTAAATTCTTGGAAGAACTTTATAAAGCCACATGCAGATGGTTGTGGATGCCGAAGGTGATGATATGCAGGTTGAGTACCGCCGACAATGTGCATTGAGGTATTACCTCTTATTCTTGATTGACACATCCATGTATGCATATTGATATAATTTGTACTATATATCAGATACATTAATTATTTAATAAATATAAAAATATAAATTATCTCTTATAAAAAAGACCGGATAAAATATTTATATTTACTTCCGTCTTTCTTTTTTTCTATTTATAATTTTAAAATTTTAAAATTTTTTAAACTATGTATATTTTCAACAACCACTCTCTTCTCGCTCTCAAATTCCATCAAAGGTGTTGAAAGTGCAATCACATTCATAAATGCTATGCTATCCACAAAGTTAGATTGCCAAAACGTCCTTTAATATAAATTCTATAGCATGTCACACAAAAAAAACAAATACTTAAAAGCTAAGCAACAAAAATAACTACATCAAATACAATATGATATATACCTTTTATTAATAAAGTCACATAAAAATAGTACTAGTTCAATTTCAAATCACTTCCTAAATAAATATAAACTTCTTTTTTCCTCACATTATAAATGTAAGAACACAACAACACTAGTCACTTTGTTTTCTACTTTACTCCTCCATGGCGTCGCTCACGGGATTTATCACTGCAATCATAATAACTATCATTCTCGCCGGAAGCTCCGCCGGCAGAGACCTCCGTCCATCCGATCACGGACTCGGCTACCAGTCCTCACCGCCGGCCAATTCTCCCCCGGATATGAGATCCTTCTTCAACAGCAACAACTCTTCTTCTGATTCTTCTTCCGATGCATTTAATTGGAATGCCACAGATTCCGCACCTCCGGCGTTACCGAGAAGCACCGGCAACGGCAGAAGACGGTTGGGAAAAGCATTAGTAATTGGAAGCTTGTTGTGTGGAGTCACAGGTGTCACTTTATTAGTGGTTTCTTGTTTGCTTTGTGTATTTGGCTGCCTAAGAGTAAGAAGAAACTCAGAGCAAAACGATTCGTTTCGTCATGGTGATGATAATTTTAATTTAAATAATAATAATAATGATAATAATGATAACAAACTTGAGGTGGTGCGGACTTCGTGAGTTCTTTCTTTCTTGCTTGCTATTTTTATCTTATATTCCATTCTTAGCTTGTTTATTTTTTCTATTCATGTTGTGTTTTTTTAGTAAAGTTGAAGGGTCGAGGGTCATTGTGTAAATTTATTGATACTATAGTGCTTTTTTTTATAGTTTATTTTGGTTGGTATTATTTTGGGTTTAAAGTGTTTTCATTATTGAGATTATTACGTCTTTCATAAGATGCGGTTGTTGATGTTACATTAATTTAATTGGACATGAAGTGTTTGTTAGATTAAATAGTATTATGGTTACGTTTAAGATGGGTCAATGAAAATTGGGTATGATTATGACTAACAAACAACGTATTACAAAATAATAGTGATAGACAAATGTCATGTTACTTGTCGTTTTTCTTTTTTTAAAGCTATGGTTTTCAATGAATCTAACAAGTCAATAAATATTTAATGTAGTATTATCAATAAAATAAAAAGTATATTTAAGAAAATAGCAATTTTTATTATCTTTAGTATTGTAAACAACTTTAAAATATCAAATAAAAAGCAATAAAGATAATATTAAATTTAAAATAAAATTTATTTTAATTTTGAGTATGATATTTGTAAAACCTAACATGATATATTAATTTATTTAAAAATTTATTTTGTGTTAAGTGTTTTATAAAGAATAATTAATTTGATGTTTTTAAAGGGATTAATAATGTCTTATATGACTATATGAGGGTTAGTTGGAGACTTTCTTCCTCATAAAGTTCAGTCAGGGTGATGACATCTCGCCAATAGAAAGGTGGAAATAGGAGGTCTTTGAATGTTATCTCTATATAAATGTCATATGCATGTCATGATTTATCATTTTGCGTAGAACATTCTAAAACCAACATCTTTGGGCTATTCTAGTTACATAATATTTCTTGTGTGGTTTACAAATTTTAAATATGGACGCTCCTAGAAAAATAAATATGTCACCATGAGTCGCGAACACATTAGTATAAAATAGATTATAAAAAAATAGTATAAAACATATATAATGCAAAAGAAATAAATATACCTCTCTTTCCCAGACATGCCCAACATCATGGTCTCTATAAATAAAGTAAGGAGGTGTCATGTGAGTCTCCTGGATAACTAACTATAGGGGCACCCGCATTAGCAACAGATTCCTCCTGATTGGCTTTGTAAGTTTTATGGACTTCATAGCAGGGGACACGTTACCCCGTGAAATAGATGCCTCAGACATACTACTTTGGAAAATAGATGGTTGTGAACTTTGATCTTGTGAACCATCAAACATGGTAACATCAACTCGTGGCTCCATGGGTTTGCCCTTCGCCCTCTCACGTCGTATAGACGCGTGTTGGGACACACAATTGAGTCTTAATCTGTCTTGGTTATTTTCACCCATTATACCTTTAACAAAACAAGAAAATCACATTAAAATGGCATATGCCAAATTCAAATGTACATCTCTGTAAACCAATTCAAACAAAATTTGGAGATTCATTTTCAAATAAAATCACAAGTTGCAGAAATGACAGAAACCCCATTTATGCCCTAAACTCCAACTAAATGGGAATGCATGTCTATACCAACTACCTATTTCAAATGTAACTACTACCTAATGCATCTTAAACATTATATTTTAACTAATACATTCATCATATCTAAAAAAAAGAAATGAAATGAAAAACTTACTGAATGAGAGTTGTGGATGAAAAGCTTAAATATAATGAGTGCAATGACTTGAGATTGAATGTAGTAAAGTAAAATAGTGTTAAATCTTGAAAAATGACCTTAGACTTTCAAATATATATTTTAAAAGTTGTGTAGTTTTTTAATTACTAGATTTTTGAGACAAAGTTAAATTTTTAGAGACAATATAATAATTCTCATATATAATCGAGTTAAACTATGTATAGTTCAAATTCAACTTATTTAATTAACGAATTTAATTTTTTATTTATATTTAACTCATTTGATTTATGAATTTAGCTCAATCATTTAATTGTTAAATTGAGATTTGAATTATATTCAAGTCGGCTCGTGTTGTTATGTTTAGTATTATGGTGGATTTGCCTACTTATACAATTTGATTTTGTAAAAGTTGTACTAGAAGAATTACTATAATTTGTAAAAGTTAAAAAAAAAATGTGGTTTTAAAAAAAATGTGGTTTTTATTGTGACTTTATTAAATTTTTGTGATACCAAATATATATTAAATGAAAGTAACAAAAAAGAATTCTCCTTAACGTTAATTTGTCCCCTTAATACTTGGAAAGTGAAATCAAATTGCATACTATTTAGCAACTTGAATTCTTTGAACTAGTATTAATTTGTAGGCAAAATATCCTTCTTGGTCCCTTAACTATACTTCGGGGTTCATTTTGGTCCCTTAATTTTAAAAAGTTCCATATTGGTCCCTTAACTCTTCAAATGTTCCATATTAGTCCTTTTTGACCTTTTAGTGACGGTTTTTTTATTTTTTTCCGTCGCTAATAGGTCAAAAAGGACTAATATGGAACGTTTGAAGAGTTAAGGGACCAATATGGAACTTTTTAAAGTTAAGGGACCAAAATGAACCCCGAGATATAGTTAAGGGACCAAGAAGGATATTTTGCCTAATTTGTATGTGATCCTTGAATTGAAATTGAATGTCCAAATTTTAATCCTATTAAACAAAATTAAATTATCCTTAACTCTTATTCTAAAATTTAAACCTTTTAATTTCAATCTAATTATCATGAATATCATGATTGTGTGAATGCGTCAAATTGCCTATTGGCAATCTTGTTGTTAGAAAGTACCATTGACACCACTGAGAGGGTTCTATTCTATCTATGGCTTGAGGTGGGGCATGCCAAAAAGTGACGATCTTACTTAGAATTGTGACCTGTCACAGAATAAAGATAGCATACAACTTTCACTAAATGAAGATTCTTTTTGAATAAAGATATTTGTGACATGCTTTGAATGAGAGTTTCAATTCTATTCGCAATCAGATCCTTCTCATGGATCATTTACCTTTGGTTAGTCGTGTTTTCTCACTTGTCATTCAAGAAAAGAAGCAAAGAGTGGTCAATGCCATAACTAGCGACAACACTGAAACTCTAACTTATGCTATCAATGATTCAAATGGTTTTAATTCCAAGAATGACAAGAAGGATATGCCTTTATGCTCTCATTGTGGAATTCTTGGTCATGTCAAAGATAAATGCTTCAAACTCCATGGATATCCACCTGGATACAGAAAGCGCAAAGTGATTGCGTCTCCACAATCTGCTGCCAATGTTGTTCACACATATACCATGGAAGATGAAACTCCACTGAACACAAAGCAGTACCAGCGGCTCATTGCCTACATTCAAAGTCAGATGGCTCGCCAATCCAATCTTGGAGCTGCTTCTACATCAGGTGATTCAGTTGGTATGGTTTTCATTTCATCACATCACAATGAATACCCTTTAACCAACACTTGGATTGTTGACTTAGGAGCCACTTTTCATATTGTGCATTCTTTACAATTGTTTAGTTTTTATAAATTTCTTGCTAATAAATTTGTGTCCTTACCTAATAACACCAAAGTTCCAGTTTCTGCAGTAGGCACAGTTTTGTTAGGCTCTCATTTAATGTTGCACAATGTGTTATACGTTCCAAATTTACACCCCGTGCTAGTGTCTTACTTGGATATCCACCAGGTGTGAAAGGCTACAAACTTTTTGATTCTTGAAACTAGAAAACTCTTGATTACTAGAGATGTTACCTTTCATGAATCCGTTTTCCCTTTTCACACAGTCACAGATGTCACTTTTCTGCCAACTTTTTTCTCTGACACAATGTTGCCCAAAGCTGTTGTTGAACCTATATACACTGCTGACCAAAATCCTTTAGTTAATGACGAGCCTCATGAACCACAACCTGATACTCCTGCACCCATTGACAATTCATCTCATGCACCTAGTGCTGGCCTTTTAGCATTTTCTATTGACCAAAATGGACATCTTAGGTGATCAACTAGAATTCACAGACCTCTCTCTTATCTACAAGATTTTCATTGTCATGTTCAGTACCCTATTCAACATCACTTGTCCTATGAAAAACTTCAACCCTCGTACAAACATTTTATAAATCAAATATCCACCATTTATGAACCTTATTTTTACCACCAAGTTGTTTCTAGCCATGAATGGAGACAAGCCATGGCAGAGGAAATTGCTGCCTTAGAAGCAAACAACACATGGTATGTTCAAACATTACCTAAAGGAAAGAAGGTTATTGGGTGTAGGTGGATATAAAAAGTCAAGTACAGAGCTGATGGATCTATTAATAGGTATAAGGCACTCCTAGTGGCCCAAGGTTTCACACAACAGGCTGGAGTTTATTTTCTAGACACCTTCTCTCCTGTAGAAAAACTTACCACTGAGAATTCAACTATCAATTGTTGCACAAAAACAATGAAACTTTAGTCAGTTAGACATCAACAATGCATTCCTTAATGAGGATTTATCTGAAGAAGTATACATGCAGCTACTTAAGGGTTATCCAATCAAGGGGGGAAGTTAGTGTGCAAGCTTAACAAATCACTATATGGGTTGAGACAAGCTTCTAGACAGTGGTACCAAAAGTTCAGCTCCACACTCACTTCAGTAGGCTTTGAACAATCTCCAGCAGATCATTCTCTATTTTTCGGTGGCAATGGTTCATCCTTGGTCATCTTACTTGTATATGTAGATGACATTGTTCTTGCAGGCCCTAATCCTCAAAGATTGAAACAAGTTGAAAAGCTCCTAAAGCAACAATTCAAGTTGAAGATTCTTGGAGATTTGCATTATTGTTTGGGTTTGGAAATTTCTAAATCAAAGAGAGGAATTCACCTCAGTAAGAGAAAATACACCCTGTAACTTCTTCAAGATACATGTTATATTGCTTCCAAACCTGCTAGTGTTCCATTGGATTCTGCAGTCTCATTCGATGACATTGATGGTGAACCTCTAGAAGATATTTCTAGCTATCGTAGATTGATTGGCAAGCTTATGTACTTGACAGCTTCACGGCCTGACATCACATATGCAGTAAATAGGGTAAGCTAGATTATGCAACATCCTTGTACCACTCATTTGGCAGATGTCCATCATGCCAAAGGCTTGTTCTTTCCTGCGAAATCCTCTCTTAAACTCACTGCATTTGCAGATGCTGATTGGGGCAGCTGCAAAGTTACACGAAAATCCACAACTGAGTTTTGCATCTTATTGGGAGAAGCTTTGATAGCTTGGAAATCAAAGAAACAACCTACGGTGGCTTGTTCATCTGCGGAGGCTGAGTATCGTGCTTTAGTCTCCCTTGCATCAGAACTGCCGTGGATTAACAGTTACTTAGAACCTTTGAAATTGACTTACAATCTGTAATGGTATTTTGTGATAGCCAATCCGCCATTCAGCTGGCCTTGAATCCCTTGAGCCATGAACGTTTCAAACACGTGGATATCGATTGTCACTTCATCCGCCAACATGTTCAAATGCAATTCTAAAACTTGTTCACGTCAAATCAGCTCAATAACTTGTTGATCCTCTCACCAAAGCACTACTAAGACCTTTGTATGACTTTCTCACTCCCAAGTGGGGAATGCTTGATATATACCTTCCCACTTGAGGGGGAGTATTAAGGGTAGAATAGGAAAGGAATTTATGAAAAAGACTAAGCAATTAGATAGCTTGTTTTTACTTCTAGAGGATATATAAAGGAGAGTAGATACCTCATTCTGTAACTGGTTCATAACAAATATAACAGTATTTTTCAGATGGAAAATGTAATCTTCATCTTTCTCTTATTTTTCAGATGGAAAATGTAATCTTCATCTTTCTCTTCTCTACTTGCACATTATCCATTGTTGATTACTCACAGTCTCTTCATGATTGAGCAAGTATCAATAGAACAAACCTTAAGTAAATAAAAATGTTATTTAAAATGCATTTTTAACGTCTTAAAATTTATTATGAAGTTTTTATAAAACCAAATAGAAAATATTAGACAAACACCCACACTTCAAGACAATGAAGTTTTTATAAAACCAAATAGAAAATATTAGACAAACACCCACACTTCAAGACAATGATAAAAATGGGAAACAAATATTTTTCACCCTGAAGTTTTACATAAACCAATTGGCATGCACACTGGTAATTTGACAATGGCACATGAAAGTAAATACAATTATGAACATGTAAGCAAAATTACGTTTTCTTACCTCTCTCACTTTTCTATGGAAAAAATGCATTCAATGTTTGTTTCAATAATTTGACAGATGTTAAACATAAATAGGCAGATTTATTTGTTTATGAGCCAAAAGCGGAAGAGAACAATTACATAAGTTACTTTATATGCTAACAACATTCCTCCAGCAGCTATTATTGATCAAGAGAAATCCATTCGAGTTCTAAATCTATTTCTCCGGATTCAACATTCTGGAGTTTGAGTGTCATCATTTGTTTAACTGTGCCATCAGAAATCATGACTGCACTATCCTCAATAAGTGCATTGTCGTCAGATTTCAACCATTTTCCAATCTGCATATCTCCAAACATTCCAGCATCTCCAAATGCCATGGCAGATGTTATCAGTGACTGAAGATCAATGTCTGCTTCCCCCATTATATCATCGGCAGAAAATGTGTCATGATCATATACTTTCTGCAACGTAGCCAGTTGATAACATTAAATAACATGCTCAAAACCCTGAAATTAACTATCTGCTTTTCCATGTAATATAGACTCCCACTCATATAGACAGGAAGGGGAAAAAAAAGAACAAATAAACAGCATGGTGCACAATACATAAACAGCCACACACCCATCTCCATGGAATAAATCAAGGATCTATTATTTAAAGTACAAAAGTCAATCTACCACCATTTGGCCAAGAGATTTGTAGTATAACATCAGTGCTACACTTAAAAATAAGATAACTGATATTCAAAGTATTTTGTTAGAATCTATCTATAACATATCAGCATGTCCATCAACCATTATAAAGACACGGGAAAGTTATTTATGAGTACCGAGGGGATGAAATAGAAAAAAAAAAATACTTCTAGCTGTGCTGCATTAATAATGATATTCACGTAAAGAGCAATGAGTCGATTAAAACAATCCATATTTTTCTCTCCATCTACTTTGGCATTCTTGTTTTGCGGATCCTATACATTGTTTGGCTTGGGAATATACAAGTACATATTAGACACAGAAGAATAACTTCATAATATTTTGTCCTATTGCATTGCCTTTTCTCTTACTTCGATTCCACAAAATAATTTAAGATTGTATAGATAAAAAAACGAGTAGCACACACACATCTCCAGTTCAATCAAACTCATTAAACATGAAATTAACTTAAAGAGAACAACAATTCTACCACAGCTGTAATAAGGCTATATTTGATTCAGTATGTATTATATGTATCATTTGTTACTACATCAAGAAGACAGCAGTAGATAACCAACTTAAATTTTTACTTTATACTGAACAGTGAATGCCATTAAATTCTTATTTGATCCAAGATAAACAGGTCTCTGGCTGAAAATAAAATTGGTATGGCAATGAAGAATAACAAGAGAAAGACGCTGATTCTCAAGTTTTATCCCTTACAGAAGGAGCTAATCAGATTGCTCGAGACCAAGATAACAAGGAAGGTAGGTGAGGAATGCCTAGACATCGATCTGTTTGTATAACTTTGTTCCTTCTTGCCATAAATTTATACTTTTGTTTTGCCTTAAAACTATTGCAAATTATAACTAATTAGGAAATGTAATTAGAAGGCAACTATATTTTATTTCCAATGGTGAGAAAGGGTGTAACTGTGTAAGAGAAGGTAACTTTGAACTAGATTAGGTTGCTTACACTAAATGGATCTGGTTATAAAAGGTGTCAGATGTTGAGAAATAAGGATGGAGAAACTAATTTTTCTGCAATCAAGGTATCCATTATAATATGATACAAACAGAATTTAATGTCTATCATTCACAACATAAAATTCAATCATACCAATTTCAGCTGTCCATAATCCTCTGGAACAGACAGCATATGTTCCTCATTCCAGACTGGATTCAAATTACTCTTCACTACACTTGTCTGTATAGTCTGTACGCCATAGCACCAAATCAAATTTCAGAAAGAAAATTGTCACCGCTTATGATTTTCAACTATGAAGTATATGAGAAGAACAACCAACCTGTGTGCCGAGGCTCAAAACAACATATGGGTCACTTGACTTTATATCCCGGATGGCTAAATTTGTGCCTTTAATCACTTTCACCTTTAACATTCCAATAAATTCTACCATACCTTCCTGTTGTCACCACCAATATCAGTCACCATCCAAGGAAATCACTAACAAGAATAGCTACATTGCCATTACTGCAGAAGTATTGGACAATGCAACATGCTTTATGTCATCTATATTAAATTTTTTTTTCATAATAAAACTTGTAGGCTTTCTTCAGGTACAACAATGATTCAACTAAGTGAAAATCTAATTCACAAAAATATGCATACTAAATTTGGTCTCCCTCATTCATAAAAGCAGTAAGATAAACAAAAGACTTAACGCAAAATCGAAGTTACCATTCTCTGTGAGCAAGCGCTTTTAAAACTATCCATGAAACTACTTTTGGAAGAACTTGATAGGCTGCTTTTTCCAGACACAATACGCAAACTAGGCTTCAAAAATTCTTGCAAATCATATTTTGACCTACAGCCAAAATAGCCGCAATTAAAATGAAAGTAGTTAACTAAAGGATTCACATGACTAGTTGAAAGAACAGCAGAATGTCAAGAAAATAAATGATTCAGCCCCACCCCAGAATGCGGGAGATGGGGAGGAAAAACAATATTCAGCATCGCCTACTTCATGGTGATCAGAGATATAGGATTTTTAAAAGGAACAAAATGATGCAGCCTGCAGATGATTCACTGCGTATATGAAAGTATATCTAACCGTATAAACTTTGACCGCTGCTCGTGACTGGCATCTGGTCCGGGTTTTGTATATCCTTCAGGGAAATAAGCCTCGTAAATTGAATTAGCTGAAGCATTTCCCCCAACTTCTATCATTGCATCTACTTCATCATCTGACCATTCATCCAATGTCACAGACAAAACCTGAAAGTAAAAATAACGCTATCAAATGAAAAATCATATTCAAATTTGCACAATCTTAATTTGATAGACACGGCCTACTGCAAACAAAAATAGGTTACATTATACTGTTCGATATCGTGTTTGTGTAAGAGGAAAAACAAGGTCATAGCATAAGATCCTATCACACACTCACCTAATAGGTTACAAAAATCATATTCAAATTTGCACAATCTTAATTTGATAGACACGGCCTACTGCAAACAAAAATAGGTTACATTATACTGTTCGATATCGTCTTTGTGTAAGAGGAAAAACAAGGTCATAGCATAAGATCCTATCACACACACACCTAATAGGTTACAAAAATCATATTCAAATTTGCACAATCTTAATTTGATAGACATGACCTACTGCAAACAAAAATAGGTTACATTATACTGTTCAATATCGTGTTTGTGTAAGAGGAAAAACAAGGTCATAGCATAAGATCCTATCACACACACACCTAATAGGTTACAAAAATCATATTCAAATTTGCACAATCTTAATTTGATAGACACGGCCTACTGCAAACAAAAATAGTTTACATTATATTGTTCAAGATCGTGTTTGTGTAAGAAGAAAAACAAGGTCATAGCATAAGATTCTATTGAACACACACACACACCCCTAATAGACCTCTAAAATAATAAAATGAATGGTGTGTGGGTGACTGCAACAGGTAGAACGACCATTAACCTAGGTAATTATGCTAAAATGCTAATATTAGCTTGCCTTTGCAAGCTAAACTTTAAGGATAGAACTGCACTATGAATGAAAAAATGAACAGTATAGGCTAGTTATGCTTCAGAAAAACAACCTTAGGAAACAAAATGAGAACTGAACTGAAACTGAGCTATAAATGACATGGCTTGCTAATTTGGTAATTTTGTCAAAATTATCATTATACTTTATATATTGGGAAAAACTCAGGCCCCGTATAGAAAAGAGAGAAGACCAGAAATAAGTTTATAAAGAGTGACACCCCCCGTTAGAAACCCAATAATTGGATTTTAAGGAAATAAGAGAAACTCTCTTCATGGGTTTCTCCTTCACAATAGAGAATACTCTATTCGCAACTAAAATATTCAAAGACGCTCTTTACCCTTTGTGTTCTCTTATTTATACACTATAACAACCTCAACTAACTAACTTCTCTAACAACTCAAAGACTACTTTAACTACTACAATTTCTCTTTATTCTATAATCCTAACACTACATCCCTTCTCAAAACAACCTTGTCTTCAAGGTTGAAATATATTCAGTTTCTTCATGTTTAATAGCTCTGTCAATAAATTCCTCCAAGATCCCATTGTTGAAAGTTGGACGAACCTGCTGCAACCAAAGGAACTCCATCTGCTGGAGCCTCAATTTTTCTGTTTCCTTTGATTTGGCGGATAAATTTGTGACCCAAAAACTGCAATATTTGCTCTGTTGTGACAGTTCGTGCAGTGCCTCAATTTCTTTGGAGAAGCTCGTGCTTCCAACTTGTTGGACATACTATGGAGCATATTTACCTCTTAACCCATCAACCTTAAGATATACCACTCCCTTTGACACTTTTCTTGACCACGGAGGTTGCACCCTTGTTTTATCGTTTCGCCAATATTATGTGTGTAGGTTTTGTATCCCTCTATTGCTGCTCCCTCTTCCTGACAGCCACTGTTTCGCCCTCCAAATCTTCTGATCAAACCTGTAGAAGGATTCCCAGGTTGGATCTGAATTTTAAACCGCAATATGTTCAAGCATCCAAGCTCATGAACGTCCATTGCACTTTATCAAACCCATGAATTTCTTTCACTTTGAAAATCTTTTCAGCCCTTGCAATCCATCCAAAAGGCACTCCAAAATCCAGCATGTTGAACTAATTGTTAGGAACCCAAGAATTAGATTCCAAGGAAACAACAATTTTATAAAGAAATGGGATAAAATATGAGAGAATCTCTCCTCAAGGGTTTCTTTCTCCTTCACATTAGAGAATACTTTATTTGCAATTACATTATTCAAAGATGCTCTCAACCCTTTGTGTTCTCTTATTTACACACATACTCTATAACAACCTCAACTAACTAATCAAGTTCTATAACAACTCATAACTACTTTAATTACTATAATCCCCCTTCATTCTATAATCCTAGTAACCCTCGCCTTGCAAACCAGTTTCGGATGAGTAGGCCCAATATGAAAACCTTATATGGTATTAGAGGTTATTGATTTGGGCCGCTTACCATTTAGAACCACAACCAAGCCCAATAGTGTTGGGCATGAGGAAGTGTGTTGGAAAAAATCCAAGTCCCGCACAGAAAAGAGAGAAGGCCTGCAATGAGTTAATAAAGAGCGGCACCCCTCATCTTATAAGCCGGTTTTATAAGAATGAATAAGGTCCAATTTAAAAACCAAATATTTTTTATATTGAATTTGAATTCAATGACTTTGGTCAAGATAGTTTGCTTCGTTTTAGACATGGAGTGTTAAAACCACCATGAATACATTTAAAATTATAAATAGAACCAAAACGAGGAATAGTACTTAGTGACAACGGAGAATTTAACTAGACATAATTCTTTTCGTAGCTAATGCCAAACTAATGAAATACCATGCATCTAATACATGTAACTGCAATTTTATGTACTTAAAGATGTCTTGTGAATGTCAAATTGAAATAAAAACATGTTTTGCAAGTCATGAAAGTAACTGATTCTTTTACTCTTCCACCATATCATGTCTGTTTACTCTTCCACCATATCATGTCTGATGCATTTCTTACACAAGTTCTGGAAAATTAACAACCCATACAAATGTGTTGTCAACTTTTTAAATTTGTTGAAGACAACAGCTGATAAGATAATTGTTCAAACTTCAAACATTTCACATTAAAAAGAATAAATATTCCTAATTAAAGTGAACCGAGGAAACAATGATTCCACAGCAATGAGAAAACCAGTAAATAGTTTTCTCTTTTATTATGGTACATATTATTGGTTTACCTTTGATATATGAGTACCAAGGCTTCTGTGCACCCCACAACATTTTAAGCATATAAACACCCCAATGTTGGCAGACCTGAAAATTACCTTCAAAAATAAATTCACAGTAGCAATATTCAAGTCCCATTCTTTATTTTAGTTTTACATTAAGTTATTTTCCTAGTTTACTTTAAGGGCATATTCATTAAAGTACATCCCAAAAAAGGATGACACTGCCCACCCATTAAATTAAACCACAAAAATTATGAGTGCAAGAAAAAAAACCTACGCCCATTTAGGATCTGGAGCATTACAATCAGCACAAATCCGATTATCTTTCTGAATCAATAAATCTTTCAATCTTCTTCTACCTGTAAAAGACCTGCCAATCATTCAACTTCTCAAGAAAAACAAATGAAAATTGCTCTGAAAAAGCCCCTGGTCTGTTTTATTAATTCCATTGGCTTACCAAATAATCTTACCTCAAGTCTTCCTCATCAAAGACCAAACACATCCACTTAGAGAGTGGGTTAATAGTAGAATGTCACTAATTGTACTTACACAGCCATAATATTAAATATTCAGAATAACAAACACCTCACTAACATACATATAAATCCACTTTGTAATCACCTTTCTAAAAAATAACTACAGAATATCATTGGACGTCAATCAAAAACTCATACTCCTATAAACTACATTTACATTGACATTGCATGTTCAATTTTCTATTAAGTATGATAAAAAATACCTGACGTGGGCCTTCCAAGTTCCATTAGATGATGATTCGCTGACATGCTATAAGGCCACAATCATCCAGTTTGAACCCCTTTAACTGACAGTCAAGCAACAAACAACAGCTTAGAAATGAAAAAAAAAATACAAATATTTATTTTCAGTTTTTCTCTACAAAATGATTCCAAAAACCAAAACCTAGAAGGAAACCTTCAATTGCAAAACATATCCACTACATTACTAATTATTACAAAGCATGATCAACAATACATGATTAAGACTTGAATAATCATAATTAATAAATAATTACACATTAATCAATAAAAAAATCAGTATCTTAAGTCATATACACAATCAGAATCGAAAATTAACGCGATCAGAAGATAAATTATGAAGGAGGATGGTTTTAGGATATGGATCGAAAAGGAAAAAAAATGGCATGGTAAATTAGAATTGATGATGGTTGAAAAATGGAAATTGTGGAATTGAGATCAGAATGAGAAAGTGGCGAAGCTACGTTACCAGTGAAAAGGAAGAAAGGGGAGGAATCGGAATGGGAGAATTAGCGAGAGAGACAGAATTGCGACGAGGCCGGGTGGTGGTGATGAATTTGATGATAACTCAATTTTTGATTTATTATTACATTCGTTTTATTCAAACTTAATCAATAAATGTAGTACAGTTTTTTTTTTCTTTTCCCATTTTTAGATAGAACCAATAAATGTGTTCAACTACACAGCAATTTTTTTTAAGGTCAAAACAAAAATAACTATCCTCTCTCTAAATTATAAACCGATTTTTATAAATAATTTATTTTGAATCATAAGTCAACTTAAAATTTCAAAAAAATTTAAAATGTGTATTATTTATTATTTATTATCTTCTTTTATTTTAGTTTTTTTGTTAAATTTATTTAACCATACTATGTATATTTAATTTCTAACCATGCTTTATAATTTTTTTTATATAAAGTTAAAAACATTTTTTTATTTTTTTAATCAATGTAAAAATATCAAAACTTGTATAATATTTTTTATGTTAAATTAAAATATGAGAATCAAATCATTAATTAATTAAATATTGTTGAAGTGTAATTTTGTAGTTTAGTATTTAGTCTACGTGACACTTTTATTTGTGTATATATAATATTGTAGCTGTTATAGTTGTATTCACTGAGTATTATAGTGCAGTGTGTATGCAATTATTTTGTTGTAACCGTTTTAGCAGAGTAGTAGAAGTTTGTTAGAATTTGTTATTATCTCTCTCTCTCTCTCTCTCTCTCTCTTCCTCTCTTCCTCTATCTTCATCTTTTTCACCTTGTGCACCAACAATGGGTAACTAGAGCTCTGGTTCAGATCCACTGGAAAACACAGGGAAACACGAGTGAATCGTGAGGCGTTGTGTGATTGATTTGGTTTCTTGAATTTGTGTTGAATTTTTTTATCAGAATCGTAACAAAATCACATTTCTTGATTATGCGGGATTGAGAAACACTAGTGTTTAGTGAGATATGAGTCAACTGCACAAGGCCAAAGATGAACGGAAACGGTGATCTGAGTATCAAACTTCCAGTGTTCGATGGCAAGAACTAGAATCGTTGGATGATTCAAATGCGTGTGTTATTTGACGCTCAAAATGTTCTTGATCTCGTTAATAACTGTTACATTCTGGTTGCGCTTCTGGAAAATGCAACAGATGCGCAAAGGAATGCTCAGCGTGATCTAAGGAAGAAGGATTATAAGGCATTATTCTACATTCATCAGTGTGTGAAGATGAACGTGTTTGAGAAGATCGCTTATTCGACAACGGCAAAGGCTGTGTGGGACACTATGGTACGGTGCTACGACGATGATGCATCAGTGAAGAAGGTGAATCTTCAGTCTCTACGTAAGCAGTATGAGAATCTCATCATGAAGAACTATGAGAAGGTACCTAACTACATATCTAGATTGATTCTGATCACAAATGAGATGAAGTCGTGTGGAGAAACTCTTAGTGAAGAAAAGATCATTGAGAAGGTACTTAGATCTCTTACTCCTTAGTTTGATTACATTATGGTAGCAATTGAATACTCTAAGGATATGAGCACCATGATAATAAAAGAGTTGCAAAGCAGTCTATAGGCACAAGAATTGCATCTGACTGAAAGCCCCTCTGAGAGAGAGGTAGAGCAGACTCTGAAAACTTCTTTTGTCAGGAAGGACCAGAAGCAGTCTTGGTCAGAGGCTAAGAAAATACATGGTAGGTCTTAGAAGTCAAAAACCTCAACTTATGGAATGCATGAGAGTGCTCAGAAGGAGAATGAGAAGTATGACAAGAGAAAGGTTTAATATTACTGTTGTAATAGGTTTGACCGTTTTGCTAAGAACTGTTGGTCAAACAAGGAAAGAAAGTCAGAAGAAGCAAACATAAATAGAAGAGATTCTGATGATGAACTTGTGTTATTGATGGCTTATGAATCTGATGACGATGAACATGTGCGATTGACGATTTATGATCCTGAATAAGACTCTGAATATGAGTCAAAGTCAGAAGATGAGTCGGAATCTGAAGGTTCTGAAGAAGAGTTTGAATTTGAGGGTTCTTAAGATACGTCAGAGCCAGAAGATGACTCTGAAGATGAAGATGAGTCAGAATTAGAAGCTAGTTTTGAAGGTGAATCATATTCTGATCCAGATTCTGATGGTGATTCAGACTCTGGTGGTGATTCATACTTTGTGAATATTCTAGACTCTAGAGGTGGTCATGCCTCTGAATATGGTACTTATGGGGTTCTAACATCTGATAATGTTCCAGAACCCGGAGAATTTTGAATAAGTTCAGAGGCCACAAAGAATCAGAAACATACCAAGAAGATTTTTGGAGTTTGACATGTTGCAAGATACTAAAGTAGACTCTGAGGGAGAAGTTGTTCAGTGTGGCATGTTAGTAGACTTTGAGGGAGAAGTCGTTCAGTGTGGCATGTTAGTAGACTCTGAACTAGTGAATACATAAGAAATGCTCAAGAAGAAAGTGTAGATGAAGGCCATGAAAAAAGAATTTAAGGCTATAGATAGAAACAAGACTTGGAAGTACAAAAAATCCATCAGCGTCAAATGGGTTTTCAATGGAACTCTAAAGTTGATGATTGATAACAAGTTTGCAATCAATCTTGCCAAGAACCCAATGCTGCATGGGATAAACAAACATATTGAGACGAAGTATCATTTACTAAGAAGTTAAGTCCAAAATGAAGCGCTAGAAATTATGCACTGTAGCACTCAGAAGTAGCTGACAGATGTTCTAACGAAGGCAATCAAGACTGATAAATTTCTCCACTTGATAGATGGAATTGGTGTTGATAGTTTTTATTAGTTAAATTTTGAATTAAGGGATGATGTTGAAGGGTAATTTAATATTTTAATATTTAGCCTACGTGACACTTTTATTTGTGTATATATATAGTACTGTAGTTGTCAACAGTTGTATCCACTGAGTATTCTAGTGCAGTGTGTGTGCAACCATTTTGTTGTAACCGTTTTAGCAGAGTAGTGGAAGTTTGTTAGAATTTCTCTCTCTCTCTCTCTCTCTCTCTCTCTCTCACACACACACACACACACACACACACACACGCGCACGCACGCACGCACGCACGCGCACACACACACACACACACGCACGCACGCACGCACGCACGCGCACACACACACACACACACACACACACACACACACACACACACACACACACACACACACACACACACACACACACACACACACACACACACACACACACACACACACACACACACACACACACACACACACACACACACACACACACACACACACACACACACACACACACACACACACACACACACACACACACACACACACACACACACACACACACACACACACACACACACACACACACACACACACACACACACACACACACACACACACACACACACACACACACACACACACACACACACACACACACACACACACACACACACACACACACACACACACACACACACACACACACACACACACACACACACACACACACACACACACACACACACACACACACACACACACACACACACACACACACACACACACACACACACACACACACACACACACACACACACACACACACACACACACACACACACACACACACACACACACACACACACACACACACACACACACACACACACACACACACACACAATTTAACCTTATATATTTGAGTTTAACCATTTTCTTGTGGCCCTTTACAGTTAATATTTTTAATTTATTATTTATATTCAAATTCAGATATTTAATGAGGAAAAAAAAGCACAATTAGCCTAGTATATTTATAGTTTTAAAGTGTTCTAAGTTTTTATTTAGAACTTACATAAAACATAAAGTTTCTAACAGCTAAACTTTTATAAAAGATAGAGTTTTGATGAGCTAAAATAAATATAATTTGTTAGAGTTTTAAAATGATTAAATTTTATCTACTAAATTTACATAATTGTTAAAACGGTTAGCAACTCAATTATTAGGATCCGTTTGGTTTAAACAAGAAGAAGGAGAATGGAGAAATTTTAATGAAGAAGAGAGAAAATGAAAGAATTTTTTAAATTATATACTCCGTTCGTTTTTTTTAAGTATATATATATATATATATATATATATATATATATATATATATATATATATATATATATATATATATATATATAGTAAGGGTATAAGGCTAAAAGCTACAAACTCAAAAGTTATTTTAAATAGTTTTTGAAAATAAAGTTAAAAGTTAGTTAAAAAGTTATAAGCTAAAAGATAAAAGACAATTACTAAACATAACTTTTTAATCAAAATGAGCTGAAAAAGTAAAAACTTTTTTTTTAAATTTTTTATCTCACCAAATAGACTCTAAGTATCATTTTTTTTACTTTTAAACATATCAAGACAATTAATAATTGTTGTTACTTTTTAAATGATGATTATTTTTTTGTCTACAATACTCTTAATTTTTTAGTAATTTATTTAATTTTTTTCTCTTTATA